TCGAATGCTACTGAAATTATATTCCAAGACGCTGAACACTGAAATAATGTTTGACTTTACGTACATTATGCGTATTATTCAGGAATAGTGTATCATGACTCGTCACTCATCAGGGGGCAGAGACAGGGAACTGAGGGAAGTAGACTTTTCTGGGCTTTGCGCATACCATCTGGTTTTCTGGCATTCGCCGTTTTCTCGTTTCTGAGTTGCTTTATTATGGCTCATTTAATTCTGGGTTAGTAAAGTTTTGACGTGTCGTATCACGTGTTATATGGAGTGTTGTATGGAGTATTTGGATACTAATAAAAAATAAATTATAAAATCCATCACTAAATCAAGAGACGAATTTATTAATCATAATTAATTAGTTATTAGCATATGTGTTACTATAGCACTTTTATTGTCAAATCATTGACTAATTAGGTTTAAAAGATTCATCTCGTAAATTAGTCGTAATATGCAATTAATTATTTTTTAGTATATATTTAATACTCCATGTATATGTTTAAACATTCGATACGATATTGTGTAAAGTTTTAAAGTGAAAACTAGACAAGGGCTATATCATGCAGGTTTGACGCCCAGTACAGAACCAATAGTTCTACTGTTAAAGCTAAATATATCTCCCTCGAGAGAGAAAAAAAAATCTAACATGTCAGCCATCCACACCCATCACGTGATTGACATTTGACAACAAACCATGGAGAATTGAGATAAAATACTAGGTGGAGCAGCGGATTGGGTAAGACCAAATGATTATAGATTATGGCCTGTTCACTTATAATCCATACTTACTGTTCGCTTTTAATTCCATAAGTATTTTCTCTCACAACAAATCAGTTGGAACATTATTTCAACTTATTTTTTCAGCAAAACAAACATGGACCTATGTAAGTTGAGACAGCCTTGTAATGACAATTATTTTAAATCCTATTGCTGCAAAGCCATTGATAAAAGTATTGTTCGCTGATTTATTGTGAGAAAAATAATATTTGTTTGCTGAAATAGTATAACTCATAAGATAAGGCCTTAAGGGCTATCCCAAGGCATCCATCTTGTGTTCTACATACTATCTACTACCTAATGATATACTGCTAACAGGCTAGTTTATAAATTGTAATGGCAATCATTTTAAATCTTAAGGGCCAGGGAATGAAACATTTGAGAAACTTGAATGTTTATCGAGGAATGAAACTCTTTAAGGCAATCTTGATTTGGCCTCGACACAAATCTCGCAACAATCGAATAGGAGTGGGAGAAAAGAAACAAGAGGAATCAATCAGCTATATTTTTTTAACTATGAAACTGGTTTATAATAAGTATACAGATTTTGTACAGAAGGTTCATAGAGAGAGAGGACAACTATAGTAGGAAATAAACAAAAAACAATTTTCAGAATTTATTTCGGAATAAATAGAGTCAAATACTACCATGACAAAACTAGCTACTCGGTGCTATTTGCGTGGATCATCTTTACTAGTTTTTTAACTAAGCACAAAACCTAAATAACTTTTTTTATAATTACACGCTCACCCTATGAATACACGTACGTAAACCTTAACTATATGATCACCTCCGAAGGACTGAGCTGACAGATCTTAAGATTCATAAAGTCACCACATGCGCCTTGTTGTCGATAGGGACGTCACCTATTACTAAAAGCATAGCAACGTTAAATCTTAGAATAAATTCAAGAAAATACGAGTACACGTGCCAAGTCAAGGACTTAACCCGGACAAATAGGTTCCACCACAACAAACCCAACCAACTAATCTATCATTAGTTTGCAAATAACTTTTTTTTACTGTAATGAATAATATATACAAGGCCATAGAATTAGAATTCCTTTTAAACCGATAACTTTTCTAAAGTTTATAGGGTCACCGGTGTAGTGGATAACAACAGCACAACGCAGCCACAGCATATCAGCATAACTCTTTGCCTGTAGTGCTAGCCAAATCTGAAATGGGTCTTGTATATTGGGTGTCGTTGTTGAAATAGTTGTCCTAGAAGGCTGGAACTTTTAATTGTAATGTTCCAATTTGAAGAAAAAAAACGCTGAAATTTGGCTTACGTTGATGCTTATGTTGAAATGTTGTAAGAGAAAAATATTGTTTTATGGTTGAAAAGTAGTGATGAATAAGATCAAGCGAATAGGAGCGAAAGTTTAGAGATACAAAAAACTATTCATGTTTTATTTTTTTAATAAAACACAGGGACTTTTTTATGTCCTATAATTTATAATAAGTGAAAATGGTTCACTGTCATCTTGTAATGGAAAAAACAGGATGTTTCTCAGCGTATCTGTTTTTTAGTGGATCTCAGCGTATTTGATGGCTCGATTTTTTTTTTTGCAATTTGATCTTTTTTTGAAAAATATTCACGTTTTCATCATGGGGCTCCCAGTGTCCAAAGTCAGATTTACGTGTAAACGTGAATATTTTTTAAAAAATGGCCAAATTGCAAAAGATTCGGTCTGATGGCTGGATCTGGATGGAGGTGACGGAGGCCCGACATGGCCTAACCAGCCCAGCGCCGTCTCGTCAGGCAGGCCTTGAGAATTGCTTCGGCAGCCTAAGTACATAGTTTGTACGCTGCAGGGCCTATAAGAACGCTTATGTGTATTACTTCCGCTTCGTAAATGATGTGATTCTATAGGTGTTATATCTAATCAAGCTATTTAAATTTGACTAAATTTCTAAAAAAAAATATAGACATTTATTATTCATATATATATAATATGAAAATATAATCCAAGTCAATCTAATTATGCTTATTTAGGATGATAGCTTAGTTTTTTTATACAAATTTGTTATAGCTACATCTTTTATATGGGATTATAAAAGAGTATGCAATTGGGCCTTCAGTCGGGTAGAAAGCTTGTGTTGTTTCTACTTCTTTTACCTTTTCACAAAGAGCATTGTTTTGTTATGAGTTCGTACATATTTCTTAGCACAATTTTTTCGAAAATGCTTGCTATAGGGCATCCGGACGGACGGACGGACGGACCGCCCCGCCCTGCCCCGCCCCACCCCGGCCGCGATGCACGCCGCACGCCCTAGTCCGCGCTGCCCACCGTGCCCCCACCCCTCCCCCTCGCCCAGAGACACGCTTCATGCCATGGCTGCGCTCCGTCACGTCGGCGAGGTGCCCGCGCCAGACATCCACGCCACCGCGAGCCCTCGCCTGAAATTGCGCCTCCTGCCGCAGCTGCGCTCCATCTGCTGATGAGAGATACCTACGCCGGACCTCTGCGAGCTCCATGCGCCGTTGCCGACCTTTGCACTATCGCTGACCTCCGCGCCGTCGCCAGCTCTATGCGCCGCCACTGACCTCCGTGCTATCGCGAGATCCATGCGCCGCAACGACGATCCTCCATTTGTCCAGGTAGCAAGGTGACATTGCGCTAAAAATGCATGTTGCAAGCTTATGTTTCAAGTGCTTTAAATATTTCAAATGTATGTTGCAAGTTTTTTATATCGATGTTGCAAAAGTAGATCGAGATGTTGCACATGTTGCAAGTGTATATTTCAAGTATTTCAAACGTATGTTTCAAGTGTATATTTCAAATGTTTCATCTGTTTCAGACATATGTTGCAAGTGTTTCTTTTGGATGTTGCAAAAGTAGATCTGAATGTTGCATATATATATATATGAAGTGTTTCAAGTGTTTTCATACGTATGTTGCAAGTGATCTTATCTGGATTTGCAATGTTTGCAATGACTACACACATGTTTTCAAGTTTTTTCTGGTGTTTTGCAAGTGTCTTAGACATATGTTGCAAGTGTTTCAGCTATTTCGGACGTATGTTGCAAGTGTTTTATCTGAACATTGCAAAGTAGATCGGATGTTGCACATGTTGAACCGGACCCACTTGTCGTTGCGCTGCTTTCTTTCGGGCGCCATTGCTTGGGCAAGCGGTCCTCACCTAATCAATTTAGTCGGTGGGCTTATTCACCAGAACGTCCTCACCTAATGTACTTCTTCACGATCCGAAGCGCTGGGGACATCTTGGCGATGTGGGCGGCGCTTGGGGAGACATCTTGGCGATGTGGGCACGCATAACGAGCCAGTACGGGAACATGGTGCAGGGAAACGGGCTAGTATGCGCGGGCGTTCATTTGGGTGCTAGCATCTCCGCAATTTTTTTCCTTCCTTGGCTACTAAACTGAAACCAATATTCCATATATTTGTGAATGTAAGGCATATAATAATGTTTTGTTAAGACAAGTCTTTGACTAATATATTTACTACTCTGTTGGTAATATAACTTTTGTGATCCAAATAAAAGTAGTGGTATTAGATTCGTGTTCCAAATCACTTATATTTATAATTAAAAGTTGGTATCATAAAAATGACATATTAATTGACCAGTTATTGGTTAAAAACTTTGTAATGAAACAAAAATTGTCTTTACATTCGCAGGGAACAGTACATAGGACGCGATAAGAGAAGCCACGTTGTGGCAAAAAATGATTCCCCGATAGGAGAGAGAAACATCCAAGCACTGATTTTTGCCACTGCAACATGCGATGATAGAAAACTTTCTTCTGTCCTCGATACACCAAGAACCTGGATCTGTGGACGTTAAAATATGATTTGAGCCATTTGTTGAGGGTGGAATCCGCTCACCTGATTTTAAATTTTTTATTTGAGACTGGTTCGATTTTTCTAAGTTTATTTTAGGATTTATTGCGGCAACGCTGTTCTAAGCTCGGCCCATGCAGACCAAGGAAAAGAAGATTAAAGGATAATTTTACGGTCTCACTGATGTGCCAACACAATTGCGGGAAGAATAAATAGAACGTTGACCTATATAGGAACCTATGCAGTACTGCTCCTTTCAACGCTACAATTAACTCCCGTCATAAAGAGCCTCAGCGCACGCACACGAACATGTAAACCGCCGCACCGTGCGCGGGGACACCGTGGCGCTTGCATGTCCACGCACCGACACCGTTCGATGGCCATGACCCCGGCCCGGCACAAACGGACCGGGTCACGCCATGGCGTCGAGGATCTCGGTCCGCGACATGGCGACGGCAGCCCGGCACACGGGGCAGATCCACTTGCGCTGGAGCCACAGGCTGATGCAGTCCGCGTGGTATACGTGCCCGCACGGCCGCAGGCGCCGGCGCCGGCCCCAGGTCGCGTCCGCAAGCCGCGCCTTGCAGATCGCGCACACATCCACGTCGCCGTCGCTCGGCTCCGGGCCCCGCTGGCCGGAGGCCCCACCCGGCTGTTGAGGGACGGCGACGACGACGTCGTCCTTGTTCTTGTTCAGCAGCGCTTCTTGCTTCCCTGCCGCGGACGAAACGCCGCCGCCGCCCTTCGCGCTTCCCGTGCCATCCTGGCAATGGCGCACGACCCAGAAGATGGAGCAGAGCACCACGAGACCTGCGAGGACGCCTAGAAATATCGCACCAGCCATTGGTGATCGGATGTTCCCGTGTTGCGCAGCAAGGTGTGCGGTTAGATGCGGCAAGTTGAGAAACAGGCTACGGTTTCGGTTAAGTCTGTCATTACGATTTCGAATTCTCAATAGTCAATACGATCCAATAAATCTTTTCATCGAGGACAATAAATAGACTCGGTTAAGTAATCGGATTCCATGGCAAGGGCTCCTCTGCAGATTCGATTCAAACTTTAGTCCGAAAAGGAGAACGAAACAAATTACAAAACGTTAGGACGCCCCCCAACAATCTCTTTTGGAGCTAGTTAAGGTTAGAATCTCGCTGACATGGAAGAGAGAATGCGCGCACTAAAGAAACATGATACTAGCGATCCTCGCTAGACGATTTTTCAATTGGTGTGCCCAAGAGCACTTGGCACAACAAGCGAGAGCCTACCCCTATGTGTCCTTCCCTCCACTCATCTTCCTCGGGGTGGCATAAAAAAGTTTTAAAATACAATATGGGTAGATTACTTTCACTATACAACAACTTAATAGCATCCTAAATTATAAGTCATTTTAACTTTCTTAGAGAGTTAAAGCATCTCCAAATTTATATAATAAAATAATAACATTTCTTATACCAAATAAGTATCATTAGAAAATTTATTAATTATATTTTTATATTGTACCTATCTGATATCATAAATGATTCTAATTCTCACAATCACATCAGTCAAACTTGAGATGCTTTGACTCTTCAAGAAAGTTAGAGTGACTTGTAATTTGGAACGGATAGAGTATCAATTAGTCCAACAACTTTGTAAGTGCAATCAAACCCTAATTGTAGATTTGAGTGATATTGACCACGCAATTAGAAAACTAATGGGATTGATCGAGATGACAAACAGGTAAAATAAAAAGGAGGATAATTCATGCGACGTTGGAGCCCCCATTTACAAAAAGAAGCGGCAATGGACTCAAAGGCATTTTTTTTCTATTTCAAAATTGAGTTTAGAAAAAACCGTATTACAAAGGGGAGACAATGCACAAGCTTCAATATGCAACTAAGTGCTCATATACCCACCAAATATCCTCAAAGCCAACAAGCCTTTCACTCTTTCACCTTTTGGCTGCTCGCTTGAGCTCGGGCACGACTTAAACCGTTAGAATGAAAGGGGAGATATTTCTATCTCTCCCCCTTCTTCTCCAACGGTCAGTTGGACCATTCTCCCATCTGCTCGACCAGAGAACTCTCTTCCACTCTCTCTCACTCCATTGGAGCACATCAAGCTTCTCCATCGATTTCTTACTGATTCCTTGAAAGATTGAGCCTCCAAATTGCAATAGAGAGCTCTCTAACATGTTCTTCAACTTCTAGAGCACTTGGTTCGCGTCAAAGCCAGTGGATTGTGTTTGTTATTCTTGGAGCAAGGCCCCTAGCCGGCTATGCGTCGCCCGTCGAAGCTTTTAACTTGTGTGGCAGCTCCGGGACATTTATAATCACCCAAGCATCTAGGAAGAACCTCTTAAATCAAGAGACTTGCTATCTTTACTTGACAAAGAGGACAGGGTTTGCGAAACTCAAGCCTTAGTGGTTTCCTCAATAACGTGGAGCTAGCCAAGCCTTTGTTGCAAGCTGGACCACGAGATAAATACCTTGTCTCTTGTGTTCTTGATATTTGTATTGCTTTATTCCGGTTTGTTGGTGATTCTAAGGTTTGGTCTCGATCTACTTGTGCATGAGCTACCGACTACATTCAGGTGGTGGAATAGGCTCTGCACTACACAAGGAAGCTCAGTAATTTAATCGATCTAAATTTCCTTGGATAAATTTTAAATTGTGATCTAAAGCTTGTAAGGTGGAGGGGAAGTGCCGCACAGGCATCTAATAGATAGTTTGAGTTTGATTTAAATAGGACTATTCACACCCCCCCCCCTCTAGGTTTAGCTGTATCCTAACGAACTTGTAAACTAATCAAATAAATACAACTTGGCAAAATGATGAATATAAGGTCGAACATTGCTAATATGGAAAAATACATACATATCAGTTAAACTCTAGAATTAATAGATAATCTTTCCAGCACGATCATCCCAAAATCTATCACGAACAATACTAGATTACTTGCAATCTGCAAAAGATAATAACATTTGTAGTATAGTTTCTCAATCTTCTCTTTTGGACAAATAAGATATAATATTTCTATCTGGCCTACTATTAACAAAATTGAGTAGCAATATTCGCACGATAAACTATGGCCATAATCCTATCAATACATATGCTATCACTCTAGTACCCGACAACAAATTGTTGATCACTTGTATGATCATAATATTAGCCAAGAAATGAGTTACTGCTGCAAAACAGATGAACACTGGTACCAGTTCGACAAATTTAAGAACTAATATCCTCATGTGAAAAAGCTTACTCTATTGTGGATTTTGCTAGCTAGGTGTTGGTTAGATCATAAGTCCAGTTTGGGTACCTGTTAGTTTTTGGGTTCATCTTTGGTGTATTAGGCTCATGATCCGACTTTGATCGTTATGGATTGGTACCAATTTTTATTTGTTACACTATTTCTGTTATGTAAGCCTCTCGCAAGCAGTCTATTGTAGCCCAATCCACTACCGAGGCCGAATATGTTGCTGTTGTTAGCTGCTACTCCCTGCTTTTGTGGATGATAGCCACTAAGAGACTTTGGCTTGAGCTTTGAGAGACTTCCACTCTTTTGTGCAATACCAGTCACGATAAGTGTGGCAAAGAGCCATGTAGTCCAGTCCAAAACTAAATATATCGATATTCGCTTTCACTTCCTAAAAGATCACTATGACAAAGACGGTTCGATCTTTGCCATGTAGACACCCACAGATAGCTCATATACATCCTCACAAAACCCCTAGACCGAGCCACCTTTGTTCACTTTCCTTTTTAGAAGAGGAAAGCATTGTTCGTTGTACACTAGACTTGATTAGGTGAGCTCCCACTAGCTCGGCACCTTAGACATAACTTGCATAGGATCTTTTATAAGGTGCTTGTGATAGATAGAGGGTTGTAGTCTTGGATAGACCGAATAGTTTTAATTCTGCATTTGTTTCGGTAGCCGACACAATTAGTTTTAGAAAGGACTATTCACCCTCCTCTAGTCCACCATCTCTACCCTACAAGTGGTATCAAATCCCGGTTCTCTCATTTGGTTGTTTTAACCGACCCGAGAGTAAAAGGATGGTGACTACTAGAGGGTATGATGTTGCGTGTGACTCACATATTTTTGACAGCACACACTCCGCAGTGTGGAAACACCATAAGTTTTAGTGGGTCGTTGTTGTTGCATTTACTTGTGCCCTGGATGAGAGCAATCTAACCCATGCGCAAGAGGATTGCTTGCAACTCGATTCACAAGTTGTAACACCCTATGCGTTAGTGAAGCCGTTAAGACTAACCATGCGATATGGAAGAATAATTAGGAAAACAGAACTACAAAATACGAAGGAATAAAAACAAAATGAAGCAAGGTGAGTTGGTGAAAGCCCTAGTTTGGTTTTGGATAATTTATGAAACCTAGGTGAACTAACCCTTTGCTCTAAGAGATGAATGAGATAGGTTGGTTCACAAGTCACAACCAAGGAGGAGCTAGACTAGATGGCACTCATGTGATGGAGATGGCCAAAAGATGGTGATCAAGTGCTCCAACTTGGAAAAGAACAAAGAGAAAAATAAAATAGGGCTCAAGGCAAAGGTATAAAGCTAGGGCCATTTCATTTTGCCAGTCAAGACGCAATAGAGTGCGTGATCGGGTTTAGGATAGATGGCCGTACCATGAAGATGGGAGAATTCATGGTTGATGCAGTTATCAAGTGCCACTAGGTGGAATAATTCATTGCATATGCATTAGGACCTAGTATGTGCTAACTTGACCCTTGAAAATGCTTTTTAAAAATCTAAAACACGTGCACAAGTGTTTGGCACACTTTGGTGTTGGCACATGAGAACAAGGGAGAAGAGGTCACACTCGAAATAGAAAAAATAGGGGCATCGAACTGAGTGCTGGACTGGACGGCTCTAAGTCCGATGGCTAACCCTGGCTACGTGCAGAGACAGAGAGTGCCCATATCATGTCGGACCGAGCATTGGACCACGCAGGGCAGATCGTCAGACTATATGAGAACACTGTTCATTTGAGCGTGCGCGCGTACAGTTGAAACTGATGTGAGAGTTGGACCACCATTGGTCCAATGGGGTGGCGTTAAATCATCGTCCGATGGTTTTGCGCATTCGGGAACCTTTCTAGAATGTGTAATACCTCACTACAGTGTAGTCTGACAAACTCACTGTTGCAGTCCGAAGGTCGGTTCGATGATGATGATCAGTGTGCGATAGAGAGCCGTTGGAGGCACAACGGTTGATTTCATTTGAAAAGGGCGTGTGGCGATTTGTGAGTGGCTGCGGTAGGGTGTCGGACCGAGAGTTGAGTGGTCCGATGGTCCCGCGCCATGGTCCGATGGTCGGCTTGAAGTGAATAACGGCTAGTTGAGGCTTGGCCTCTCTATTAAGGGCTCACTTTCTTGGGCATTTTTACAGTTGATACAACCTTGTGAGCCTAGTCATTCTCCTCTCACTCATCTCTCTTGATTTGTTCATCATTTGGTGAGATTGGAGAGCATCCAAGTGCATTTGCTTTGAGATATTGCATCTAGTGGCACTTATGATTATGTGTGTCGAGGATTCTCTTGTTACTCTTGGTGGTTGTCGCCACCTAGACGGCTTGAGGCAGCGGGATCATTGAGCGGAGGGTGGTGCTTGTCTCCGGCTTCGATCATGGTGATTGTGAGGGGTTCTTGTGCCTATTCCCCGCGGGAGATCCCGAAAGGCAATTCTAGCGGATTGCTCGTGGCTTATGGCTCCTCTCTTGTGGTTGGTTCTTACAGCGCCCTTGTATAGGGCTAGGCGTGTCATGCCTATTAGCGCGTGAGCCATCAAGTGTGTGTGTTGCCACAATGAGGACGTAAGTTGCTGGCAAGCAATTGAACCTCAGGGA